GGCGCTTACCCTGTCTTATATTTGTAATAGTTGTGCATACATGAAAATATGCATTTGTAAAAGCACTTCTTGTAGCTTTAATTTAGATTTGCAGATGATACTATATGTGGTGTGGATCTAAGAAGAGATAAATATTCCAGTCTGAAAAGATAATCCACCAAAGCAGAAATCCATTAAAATCCTTAAATTATTCCATCTAAATTTCTTTTTTTAGTATATTACCTTGGAAAATTTTACGTCAACATAAAATACCACGCTTCTATCATTTTCATAGGTTAAATGTAGCAAATAAAATTCTTCCTCCATAAAGTAAATCTTGAGTATGTTGGATTCAAATATATGCCAATGGCCTTTCTTGCCTAACATTATTTTCTATAGTATTTTTCATCATTTCTGATTCCCCCAAACACACATAATTATTCTTCCGTTCTGACCACTTCAGGCTTTCTTACCATTTTTGCCTCATCTCTTTTTTTACAGCTGGCTGTTTTCTTGTATTACATATTTGTTCTACTCTCAAAATTGAATTGCCATCTCATAGAGCTAGGTCTTTACTCCCCGGAATTCTATAGAGCAAGAGAAGAACACTGGTGATCTAAGTAGCAAAAACAAAGCATTTACTTTCCCTGGAATATAATAAGAAGAATGCCACAGACCCTGTATAATAACAAAATTTCATTTCTATTTCTTTTTCCAAAAACAGGAATATAAATATTTAGTGCCAAAAAAGCTATATTTGTTGAGATGTCTTGCATATTGTATTTCCTAAAGCGAATGGAGTTACAATCACACTTGAAAATGTACTAGTTGTTAAAACAAAATTAAATTTGGACAGACCCATTGTTTAATAAATTATGCTGTGGCTAGGAACGCCCAGTAAACTGATTTGCTAAGCAATATGTTACACAAAATCTCCAACCTACATACCTTGTCCTTCAACTCTGCATCTTAAATATATAATAGTAAATGCTCATGATCTTTGAGTCATTCTCCAAAAATATTATTGGGTTACGACTAAGTCATTGAACTTGATTTGTATCTACGTTAGTTAATTAACCTTAACATTTTACAGAACAGTCAAGCTAATGTTGGACTTTGGAAGACCAAACAACATTTTGTAATAAGTATTACCATTAAACTAGCATCATTAAAAAACGGCCATTAGCAGCACTTCAAATTTGTGGATATCACCTACCAAACCACAAATCAAATTAGCATGTTCTTCATTCTTTATTAGCTGTTGACATTAGACAGAATTCCCTGTTAAAAGTCAAGATTAGCTGGCATGGGTTTAGTATTTGTCATTGATCGAGTTTATACAAAAGCACGTGCTAAATGTTAATTATATCTATTAATGGGTCTTTGCATTGTAATTGTAAAATGTCTTGTCGAGAATACATTTTATTTAAGACTACAAGCACCACTCATCACTTATCAGTATCTTTGTCAGATACATATTTTGATCTTAAGCAAGGTCAAATTGAAATAATTCAACTCATTTATATAAACATGTGAATGAATAGGTACAGATATGCTTATATCAATTTAAATGACTTCTACAAAAATAAGGTCAAAGATTAGGAATCTACCTTGATCTTGAAACCAAAGAATCAATAAAGTTGACTGCCTTTTGATCTTCATCCTTGATCACATTGGATCCAAGGCAGAAATGGTTACCTTGGTTAATGGCTTCTTAAAATAGGTAAGTTTGTTTTTTGTTTTGTTTTTGTTTTTGTTTTTGTTTTAAGGCAAGGAAGATTTTATTTAAGACTACTGCAAAAGAGAAGAGAGATTAAACTCAATTCTATAGAAACAAAAGGTTGGAGAATTTTCAGTGCTGAGTGAAATCACAAAAAAGTATTAAAGGACAGGAAGGGAATATAATCCAGGCTTTTCCAAGAATCTCTTTATGGTGTTCTGGAAAGAATCATAAATTCTGACTTCATGCACAGCATTAAACAAAGACAAAGATTTTTTAAGTGGTTAATAAAGTTCAGTGGAATCAACAGTCCTACCTATACATCGCAGGTTTCTAAGAAAGTCACCTCTCAAGATTAACTGTATAATTGGATGAGTTATCAATACATTCTTTAAGAGAAACTGGGTTGAGTCCATATCGTTCACCTTCACTGCCTGATGATAAGCTCTGTGGCTTGGATCTGATAGTGTGGATCTGGCATTAGGAACAACACCTGCGTGGCTCAGTCGGTTAAGTGTCTGACTCCTGATATTGTTTCAGGTCATGACCTTGTAGTCATGTGATCGAGCCTTGCATCTGGCTCATGCTGAGCACGGAGACTGCTTAGGATTCTCTCTTACCCTCTGCCCCTTCCCTGATTGTTCATTCGTTCCCTCTCTCTCTCTCAAAATAAATAAATAAAATAAAATAAAATAAAAAAAAAGAAACAACTTCCAGAGGAAAAAATGATCCACTTAAAAAAAAAAAGAAGGGATCGTTGATAATATTATGTTTTTCTAGAAACATTTGTTGAAATCCTTGGTGCCTAGCTGAAGGCTAAGCCCCAGTCACCTAAACAAATTTATTTGAGCAAGAGATATATTAAAAGCATCTACAAAGCTTGTCAGCAATAACTCCATAATGTCAGGATGAAGACTCTTTAAAATTAAAATTCTAGAAAAAAGAAAAAAAAATTGAGGACCATAATTTTATTCTACTGATAAATAAAATGTTTGCCATTTCTAAAATTTCGTATTTCAACTTAGTGACTAAAATATAGTAAGAGTTTTATTAAACTAGGAACTAGTGATCGATCTAGAATACTCCAAAGAATACATACACAGAGGTAGTATGCCAATAATTCTACCCGTTCTTACCAATTTTCACAAGATATCTAAATTTCTAAAGCTGGAATTTGGCAATATTCCTTCCTTAGCAAGAATTAAATCAATTTAACAGCATAGGGCAAATGTTTTAAATGGAGCTTGGCAGAATAAGCTATTCCATCAAATCAATGTCAGTTGTTTTTTGTTTATTTGTTTGTTTGTTTTCCCTTCTTCTTCCTCTTCTACACTGTGCCCAAAAGAAGGTTTATGGTTTGGTAAAAGTCCTGAACGGCAGAATAGAGAAGGAAAGACCGCCTCTCAAATAAAGAAGTACAGATCCATTATTAACAAAGTCAAGACATTTCCAGGAGAAAACATCCTAAGTAAAATGAATAAACAAAACAAAACAAAACAAAACACCCATTTGGTCATATTTAAGGGCTACCTTGTGAGTTCACTTAATAATATTCAATATTACTTTAGTGACATGTAATATACTTTTATATAGATCACAAGTGCTATCTAATACAAGAGGGTTCAATAACTGAAATGATTAAAAAATATAATGAGAAAAAATTCCTACCAAAGGAATAAAGTTTATGAGCTAATGTGGGCAGGATCACATTCAATGCAAGGCCTCTGGGAAAATCCTTCCTTAAGTATGCAAGATATTCATTTGCTTCTATATTACTATCTTTCAGTAAAATACATGTCCCAACAAAACACATCCCAATAAGGGGAGTATTAGCAATATGAGAACCAACGTAAAATAAATATTCATCCGAAGTTACCCCCCCACACACACGCATCTGAAGATGGATATCATAAGCTCTGCTTTGCTTGATTCCATCATGATACCACACTCGGTAACTGTCCATCTTTATAATATAACATCAAAGAGGTGTAAAGACATCGGAAGCCATCTTCAGGAATATCTGTTCCCTCTGCCCATCTTCCCCTGCCCCCTCACCCTCACTCTACACTTTTAGCAGGAGAATGTAGTTTTGGAGAGAACATACTTGGCATTTGACATATCACATAACATTTACACAAGAGTTAACCATTTTTAGAACAAACTGTATTACATATTTTTTCCTGGAAATTCAACCAACATAATCATTCATGTTAATACCCTTTGTTGTCCTGCAGATATTATAGTTTCCTCCCTTCCCTCCTTCCTTCCTTCCTTCCTTCCTTCCTTCCTTCCTTCCTTCCAGTTTGGACATTGCTCATTGACTCAAACTTTCTGCTTTGCATTTGGTGAGTGCAATGCCCCCTCCTAGGTAAGGAAGGAGAAATAGCTCTAAATAGCAGCTGTCAATGGAAGAATCATCGCACAACCAGGCACTCGGTGTGACAACATTGGCAAGTGTCACTGTAAAGTGTCAATAGGAAGAGTAAATTGCTCCCAATCCTTTTCCCTAACCTGTTCCTTGTCAAAGAGGATGCTTGAACAGAACCTTATTCTCTCTCCGTCACTATTATCAGTAGGGTAAAAGGGTTCACTTAATCATGGAAAGTAAAATCAGACTAGAACTAAATAAGAGCTATATGACTTTTCCCACGTTGGCATAAAACTAAAAAAAGCAGAATTGGTCATGAAGTCATAATTAAGCATTAGCATGGAAGCAGAAACATTATCTTATATTGTCACAAAAACACAGTATCAGATACAAGCAGCAAAAAAAATGTTCCAGTCAAGCCCTGGTAGCCAGGAAATTCTTTTCAAAGGTGTTTCCTTTTTGGGCTTTCCCAATTTGTACTCAGTACAGGGACCTAACGTGAGGGTTTAAATATTCACTTTCAACAAATAAGTAAGTAAATAAATATCTCCTTTTTTTTGTATGTATATCATGTGACTGAAAACAGAATGCACATTTTCAACCCATCGTAAGTAGTGATAAACTGTGTCACAAAACTCATTCTATCATAACCTCTATAATGTATGCAAAATTATAATATGTAATATGTAATAAATTATAATGTATGTATAATTAAAGTATGCAAAAGTACAAAAAAAATAAAACCAAATCAAGATCTCTATATAGACCATATTGATAAGTGGCACATGAGGGAGCACTGGTATTTTTTAAGGGGCCTTTACAGTAAATATTCCATTCCTTGTATGCCTTTTCATTAAAAAAAAAAAAATGCATATGCTCTCCCATTCACAAATGCACTCAACCCCACACAGATGTATAAAAAAAAGAACTTACACAATTTCGTCGTTCTGGAACTCGAGCTCTCCGCAAGTGTCCTCAAAGTCCTCCCCACCACCTCTGGCAGTCCCTTCGATGGTTTTATAGGGAACGATAACATTTCCTCGAGCTCCAGATGTTCTCAATACCTTCACCTCCATAATGCCAATGCTCTCGCTCACATGAGTCACAGGTTCCTCAAAAGTAAAGATGCCAGCGTGGTCATCATCGAAGATAGTCACAGTGGCAGTGGAGGGAGAGCCGAGGCAAGCGAGTGTAGAAACATGATTGGCTTCCAGGATGCCGTCTTCTGAGGCTTCGGAAGATACCTTAACGTTGCTCAGATGCACAAGGAAATTCTCATCCTCCTCAAAGATATCGTCATCAATGATGCCAACTCTGATCTCCTTCTGGGTCTCACCAGGCTTAAAGACCACAGTTCCTTCGGTAAATTCGTAATCAGACCCAGCATTGGCTGTGCCATCTTCTGTTCTGAAGTCAACAAACACAGTGTTGGTCAAATCACCACCTCTGCGGAGAATGGTCAGGGCTACAGTACCACAGTTCTCCAGACACTGGTATGTCCCTTGTTCAAAGAAGATCTTACTAACAGGGTCATTTTCAGCCACTTCAGTGTTGACCTCATGCATGCTGACTGCCTTCCTTGCCTGGTCAGCTGCATGCCTCTTTAAAATGTTGCCAGCTCCAGTCATGAGGCGAGTAGCTTGGATGCGGTAAAATGCTCGACTTTTTTGCTGCTGACTTAGGACTTGGTAGTTAGCTAATTCTATTAATTGCTCTATTTCTTTCTCCGGATGTTTCTGCTTGAGCTCCTTCAGAATCCTAGCCATTTCTCGCCTGGCCTCTTCATCATCTTGGTCCCTCTCGTCAACCTCCAGAACCAGGGCACCATCTAAGAAATTGTCAACGTGGGAATTGACCACTTTCCCATCCATTTCAATTTCAGTCTTGGAAGATGGCCTGTCTCCTTCATGTTCAATAATCATTCCCCTCTGCTTGCCAGCCCGATACCTCTTGTAGACATACTTGTAAAACAGAAGCCTCCTATCTGCTACCCAAGCGAACACAACACAGATGGGAAAGAAGAAGAAAGTAAGCAAACCTTCCCACACCTCCACGACCCCAGGAGAGATGACAGACAAAATAATGTAAAGCCAAGTATAGGCAAAGATGCTCCAGGCTGCTGTCACAAAGAACACACGCAAATGCTTAATCTTCCTCGTCTCTCCATCTGGGACCACGTAAACACAAAGCGCGATAATGATGAACATATTGAACGCAGCACTTCCCACGATGGTGCTGGGACCTAGGTCTCCCGCAGTGAAGTTGTGGCCACACACTTCAATTACCGAAAGGAGAATCTCTGGAGCAGAAGATCCCAGGGCCATCAAGGTCAGGTTCGAAACGGTCTCATTCCAGATCCTCACAGTGGTCTTGGTGGTCTCTCCATTGGGTTTCTTTATGGTTATTTCTTTTTCTTGAGACGTGATGACTTCTATAGAGGACATGAACCGGTCGGCAATGATAGAGACTCCGAGAAACATGTAGACCATGGCCACGAAATACACGGTAGCTCTAGCAATTTTGTCTCCAAAGGAAGGGTCTTGGGGCTCCCAAATGGGTAAAATCACCCCCTTCTTACAGTAATATGAGCCGGTACACTCGCCAGTTTCATTGCCTTCTCCTTCCATTTCTGTGTCAGCACTTATAAGGTCCACATGGGAAAATAAGAGTGCCACGAAGGCTAACAGATGAAATCCCACTGAAAATGTAGGTGAGAGTCTTAATCGCAGCATGTTGTACAATGGTAGGCTTCCAACTGTCCCAACCTACCAGTAAAAATAAGATGGAGGGAGGGTAGGGGGAAAAAAAAAAATCACACCATCAGAGCCAGATCCAAAGCATGACTAATTACTTACTTTTATTACTTTTACCAATGATTTGTTTATTTTTGGCTACCATAACATCTATGGTGAATCATTATTCTAAGTATCCATCATTGATTAAGCAACCCTTTGTAAAACTCACAACTCACTCTCTCTGCTTTTCTACATGAAGCCTCCATTCCCGGAGCAATGTATACAATTGACTTCCTGGAAGTGAAAAGTTGAATTATAGGTTTGCCTTGTTGAATACATAGTTAGGCATACTAGCAGCCAATAAGGGGCGGGGGCGGGGGAAGACTTCTGAAGCACTGAATAATTTTCTCCTTGTTGCTAATGCAGGTTTTCTTTTAAATTTTGGTTACTATAATCACCTTCCAGAAATGGTTTCATTGCCAAAATCACCTTATTAAGACTGCTGTTTTAATGTTCAGACTCTAAAAACTTTACCAACACAAGGCCTCTCAATGATCTTAAATTCTGGAGCACACCTTACACTGCATTTTATGAAATCATGTCCTATGGCTCCAAGCTTACTTGGAAACACAGGGGTATCTTCAAGGTTTCCCACAAAGTCAATGGTATTTGTACTTGAGAGGAAAAATATTCTGCTGTAATGCAGTATTTCTGCACATTAAGTATAGTTTTTAAAAACATATTTTGAGGAGAGTACATTTCCTCCTAATTTTCAGCAAGCCCAGTTCCCCGGATACGTTAGCAGTTGGGCATCTGGTTCTTGAAGCACAGCTCTTCGAATCTGGGTACAGATCTCGCTTTAGAATCTACAGGCTGTCCACAGCAGGAAAGGGAGATAACCAGGCCCGGGTCTAGTCGTGTGTTAAGGCTCTTGTCTGACAGGCTGTGAAATCAGCTTTCCCTAGCCATAAAATGTTCCTTCTCGGTGTTGATGTCATACTTTTCCATGGTCATTCGAAAACATATATTGGTTCTGCACAGGGTTCCAGTGACCAAAAAATCCAAGAGCAATAATTCCATCTAAATTAGCTCGTGTGGCAGAACAACAGTGACCACAAAGTATATACATGATGAAGGGCTGTAAGTAATTAGGGATCTAGCAGCAGAGTCACTGAGCCACATAAAGCTTGGTAAACAAAGCAAAGTTGTGGGCTGGAAAACCATGGCACTAACCTCACCCACCAGCTCAGGCAAAACTCCACTTGGACCATACATCACCTCTGCCTCTAAGGCTTGGTTAGGTGCTGACATAGAGGAAGGTCTGGTCCAAGTCAGGGTAACTCTGGTCTGGAAGGCCAGTTATGACATCAGATACAGTGTTGGTAAGAAGGGGTCCTGAGTCAGAACATCACCTTGTGGCCTGATAAAAACTTAAAAGTGGAGGTAGACTGGAGCTTTTCAGAGCCTGGGGCAGTCTAAGAGCCTCCCACACATTCATCTACATTCTCTGGCCCATGTTTGCTACTGATGGCATATAGTGGAAATTCACCATGGCCCAGGAGAAACCCCCTGGCCCGGCACATTCTGGCAGACCCTCAGAGAGCCCACCGTTGCCAAAAAGCCCCTTTTAGCTCATCGCTATTGGGAGATAAGCTTTGACATTTTCCCCACACTAAAGACACAGCAGAGGGTCGTGGTAGCAGAATTACATTCTACATAAAAGGCTGAAAAAAGAGAAAAAAGCATATTTTCAAAATATGCAAGATTCATGGTCCGTGATTCTACTTGTTCGGTCATTATAGGGCTTGGGTAGGTTGTGGGATCGCCACTTAAAACAGGGAGACATTGAAGCAACCTGCAAGAGTAGTGGGAGACCTAGTTTAAATTCCCTTATGCAGCCATTTATTCCACAAATATTTATGAGTGCCACCTACTACATGTTTTAGAATGACCTGCGGGGCTCTCTCCTAGGTCCTAAGAATTCATCAATGAATTAAAAGCAAAAAAAATACAAAGTCTCTGTCCTTGAAGACCTTATGTTCTATCAGGGAGGAAACAAATAAATAAATGTCAGATGCGAAAAAGTGCTGGAGAGGTGGGGGCAGAAAACAATATAAGTAGGAGAGGGAGTCCATGTGTGTGAGAGCATGTGTGAGTGTATATGTGAGTGTGTGTACATAGCATACATGATTTTATATTGGATCGTTAAGAAAGGCATCCCTGATGAGATAACATTGGAGCTAAGTCCTGAAGGAACTAAGGGACCCAGCCCTGTGGATATCTACAGGAGGAGAATTCCAAGTGCCAAGACCCTGTTGGGACTTTTCTTTGCGTAATCTAGGAGCCATAGAGGAACCAGTGTGACAAGAGGGCATGAGCAAGGGGAACAGGGCTCAGAAGCTGGGGACATAGTGGGAATGGAATGGATCAGGAAAGGAATGGAGTCCACCTTAAAGCACCGGCTTTGATCGTGAAAGAGATGGAAATCATGGGGAGGTTCTGATCAGAAGCGTGAGATCAGCTGATTTTCCTGTTACAAAGATCTTTCTGCTTGTTCCCTGAAGAATACAGTTACAGGGACAGGCAAGAAACAAGGAGACCAGGTTTTGCCTTTTATTTAAAAATCTGGGGGCACTTGAGTGGCTCAGTTGGTTAAGCTCCTGACCCTTGGTTTTGGCTCAGGTCATGATCTCACAGTTCATGAGTTCCAGCCCCACATCTGGATCTGCACTGACAGATAGATAGATAGATAGATAGATAAATAAATAAAACTTAAAAAAAAAACACCCTGAATTATAAATGATCCCAATGCCTGGCAGGTATAAAAAAGGATACAATCAAGATTTCTAGTTTAAAACCTTTGGAAAATTTACAACTTAAAACGTCTTGGGAACCTGTGAAGATCAGAAAGGTTAAGTATTTGCTCACAGAGTGTAGTATGGAATGGAGAGAGGAAACCCAGAACAGAGATTCCAACCTGTGCCTGTCTCCAGGACTGATATAATTCACCATTTGCTTCAAATCCCTGCCAAATCTCATCATTCCATTTTCACATTTCAGCCAAAATGAGCTTTCTAAAGTACAGCTCTGACTCTCTCACTCCCCTTAAAACTCTTCTTTGGTTGCCTATTGCCCTGAAAACAAAACCCAATCCCCTCAACAAGCTGTTCAGACCTTTTAGGATCTAGCCTCTGAGTTCTAGAATATGGAAATTCTTTCCATCCCCTGACCATGACCATGCGTTCTTACCTCCAGCTCTTCGAAGACTGTGTGTTCTGTGCCCCCAACTATTTTCTTTCTTAGAAGTAAATGTCAAAACAGCACAACAGCAAATCATGGCCAATTGCCTGAGAGATTAACAGGAGGTTCTATTTACAAACACTACAACAGACTCTATGCTAAATTCTTTATATGTATTCTTATATCTAATACTTACAATAACCAGCATTGCTATTTTGTACAACTCTTAGTGTTGCCATTTACATTACAGTCCATGAGAATAGCATTGCCTGGAGTTATGTAATGCTCAGTGCCCTTACAATCACCCTATGCAGTAGATATTATTAGCCCACTTCGGAGACGGGCTTCACTGAGGCACAGACAGGTTAAGTACTTGGTGGAAGTCATAAAGATAGTAAACTCCCAAACGAAGATTCAAACCCTGGTCTGTCTCTGAGACTGGTATCATTAACTGTTCCATAACAGCATCCCTGATAGTGCGTGAAGTAATCTTAGAGAGCTATTGGATTTGGACTTGGACTGGCCCATTGGAAAACCTCTTGGCTTCCATGAAGGGTTAGGAGGGCCTCAGTAGCAAAGCCCCATGGAAGGTTTCCAACAGCCTCACTTTGATCTTGTGGATTAGGGACTCAAACAGACAAACATTGAGAGCTGTGGTGTAATGTACAGGCTGGCATGTTCCTAGACACAATTGCCCTAAACTTGCTTGTTTTTTACCAATTACCTGGCCACCTCTTCCTGCACACACTCTCAGGGCAATCTCTTAGGTCAGCCAAAAAAAAAAAAAAAAAAAGTCCTGCCCAACCCACATCTCACAGCATATTCTTATCCAAAAGGGTACAGATGTCTAAGGGCGGATGCATCAGTAAAAATTCCTATCAGAGAAAAAGGAAGGGGGTTTCTGAGGTTAACTTCAAAACATCACAATTATATTCAAAAGGTGGTAGTATTGTAATCTGTGAAATCAGTGGACACAAAACCCTGATACAGATTTTTGGCAATGGAGCGACTGGAAAGAACTCTCTGGACCTCAGTTTCTTTCTTTACTAAATTAATTACCAAATCCAAATGCTTTGGAGGATGTGGGGCAGATGTTATCTAAATAAGAGTTCCTTCTTCATTCTTTTGTTTCAGGGTATTTCCTCTGTCATCAGATTCAAGTAGAACTACTTGACCCTTCCCACTGTCTCCTTAAAAACCTATTTCCATAAAAAATTAAGCAGGGAATAGAGGCTGTTGATATGTCATTCTGTTGCCCAGATTTCTTATATTCTGCCCTGGTCTACTGAACTCTGTAACAAGGGGGAGGCTATTTTTCACAGTGGTTTCAAATCAACTCTTACATCAAAGGCTGATTCTTGCTTAGGAATATCCATTACATCATCTAAATGAGCCTTCGGCACAAAGTCAAGAATACCCAGATCGTCTTCTGCTCACTATTTATTTTAAAGGAAAACTAACAATGCCACATCTACAGATGTGAATGGCAGTGATGAAGGTTAGTGAAAAGGCCCAGACACCAGTGTTGAAGGTGGCGAGGTCATAGGAATGGAACATGCACCTGTAAGACAGATGTTTACCAAGACAGATTTCCTTGGTAAAGAGTGGGGAAGAGCCCCCCACTGCAGGGGCCTGAGGAATAATCAGTGTAAGGGTTTCCCTGTGGGGGTCTGTAGCCAGGTTTGACTACCAGAGAGGACCCGACTCAGAGAGAAGAAACACCTTTGGCACCCCCACCAGTCCAGTGCACAGGGCAGCCTAATCTCATTCTATTGACTGGCAGCTTGGGT